GCACACAGAGGAATTAATATTCTCCCCTTCGACGTTGAGCAATTCCAGTAAATTTTTCCTTAAAAAGTGTAATCTTTCTCTGCATGGTAACAGTTAGTTTTTTCATAAAACGGACAGACTCTCAACACTCAAAACCGTTGGGCAATTAGAAACTGAACATGGAACAATATAGCAATCGGCGCGACAGAAGCCGAGGAGTGAAAAATCGAGAGAGGTTCGGATCAGGTCGGGAAAAGAACGACCCAACTCGACCCACCCTCCCTCGCTTTTCCACTCCGCCGCTCCTATCACGACGTTTACTGTTATGCTTTGTCTTAACTTAGCCCTTAAGACTCCAGAGGTGATTAACATGTAACTTCTCCCTATTATATCCTTAAACGAGTTTATTGTAAAACTCATTAATAATTCATACGTTTGATAGCCAATAAAAAATGGCTAAACTCGTCACGTGCATGAGTTTTGATACAAAATGAAAACACAGATGAAAACCACACGTGTTTTGGATCACCCATCAAAACCAAGCATGGTTTTGATCTGTTTTCTCACTGGCCATCAAGATTCACGGATCAAAATGAAACAAATTGAACACCAGAACAACACTTCAGTTTAATTAACCATCATTAATCATCATCGCTTGTTTCCTCATGAGCAAATAATGCATTAGACTTGTGCCCGGTCCTCTCTCTAATTCGTTTCTCTTCTACACCACTTTTAAAGAGTTTTGAAACACAAGTGACACCCAAGCAATGGGCCGTTTTTCTTTTGATTTCCGCAGCCTCACACAAATTCGGCGAAATAGAATTCAAGGTGTTGATCCTTACAGGACTATTCTAAAAAAGACCGGAAGGCTTTGGCCTGAAATTGAAAGCGTTTCAACCAATCCAATGTACAATGGATAAAACTGCACTCAGTAAACACCGATCATACTCTTGACCTCTCTCGTGGCAAATATGCCTTACTTTTCTTGGTTCATACTCATAATTATAATAATTTATAGACTTATATTGCGCAATTATCGATATAAGAATTTTCAATTGCGCATTACAATTAAATGTTAAAAATTCAACCCCTACATAGATACTAAAAAATAAAAAAATAAAATAGAATAAAAGAAAAAATTTAAAAAAAATTAAATAAATGAATAAATAAAACTGATCACAAAGAAAATTTAAAAATATGAAATTAGATACAAAGAATTAAAAAGCTTTGGCAAATAAAGTCTTAATGGCCTTCTTAAACTTGTTTAAAGAATGGGTGTTTCTGAAGGTCAGTACTTAAGGTCATTAATACCTCCATGGAAAGTTTTACATACATTTTCTTCAAAATTAATAACATTTGGCTCAAAAGAAAAGTTATTCACACAAATCTTCCGATGTTCACCACCACGCAAGCCAAACATTTTACCATTATAGAAATAAATAGTATCCCATAATTGCTTCGCTGTTCTTCGCTTCTCACAGTTTCTTCTAAATGCCTTCGGATGCCACAGATAATTCCATAAAGGGTCCTTGTTGGATACACCTTCCCTTCATTATTCGCAACCTCCTGGACGAATTTACTCAGCCTGTAGGGTAAAATGCCTGCACAGTCCCATACTACATTATGCATTCAGTTCTTGGATAGAGAAAACGACGACAAAAACAATACATTGCCCTTGGGAAAACAGATTTGTTTAACAATAGTATGGGGCTGCGCGGAAATGTTACCGCCAGTAGTTGAAAGTGTTGGCATCCATATTTGCCAAATCTGTAATCAACGACTGAACTTTCTACATATCTCCATAATCTTTAAAAGTGCCACCAGCATCAAGCACAGGAACTTTAACTTTTCTATTTATCTGCCACTCGTGAAAATCAATCGCCCATTTGGTTTTGTAGACAGTTGAATGAAGAATACTCCATTGAAGCAACTTGGATTCTTCTTCCCCAGTTTTTGGAGAACAAAAACGGCTACGGTATTCGCTACAGAAGACTCCGCCATGACTTACACTGAGCAACAACAAAATTTCCACATTATGATTATTTTTAAAATACATAATCTCATGGGAAATTGGAGCACTGAAACAATACCCCTTAATTACTAAAGAAGTGTGAATAGTTTCAGAAGCCATTTTAAAAACTCATGCGTCGTGTTGACCGGGTTCTCCAGAAACCTCGAAAGACGCACGAATTTTTGATACTTTCGAGTTTTTGAGAAACCTCGAAAGACGCACGAGTTTTTCAGAAACTTCGAAAGACGTACGAGTTTTTCAGAAACCTCGAAAAACGCACGAGTTTTTCAGAAACCTCAAAAGACGCACGAGTTTTTCAGAAACCTTGAAAAACGCACGAGATTTTGACACTTTACTTGAAAGTCACTATAAAAGAAGAGGCCAAACATTTTTGTCACTCATCGAAAAAAATCTTTGGTCAGATTGTCGCCTTTCTGAATTCTCTAGAACGATGAAGTTTGCACTCGTGGTTCCCATACTGCTAGAGCTTTTTCTTGCCACACACGCCTGTACTGAAATCCGTGTGACCGCTGAGGACAAAACAGTTGTAGTCGGACGAAGCATGGAGTTCATGATCGATCTCGTGTCGCACATCGTAGTAGAGCCCAAGGATTACCCCCACTCTGCAAAACTACCAAAGACCTGTTCCCGTAGTTCATCAGCAATGACTTGGACGAACAGCTACAAGATCGCATACCTTGACGCTTGGGACTCGCCTGTTGGCGCTGATGGCCAAAATGACGCTGGACTCTCCGTGGGTGCACTCCTCTTTCCAAGTTTTTCCAAGTATCAGACCGTCCCCAAAAGCAAGTGTGGCTTGGCCATTTCCAACTTGGAGTTTACGGTATGGATTTTGGGCAACTTTGCAACTATTGAAGAGGTTCGAAGGGCTTGGAAAAAGGACTCATTCCCTCTTGTGTGGGAGCAACCTCTGAAAGGGGAAACCTTTGAGCTGCACTGGTCTATCACTGACAAAAGTGGTGACGGCATCATTATTGAGTACACCGAACAGGGACCA